GTTGAATCATTAGTGCACTAAATGAAGATATTTGAAAATAATTTATATTAAATATAAATATAAATATAAATATAAATTAATTCAAATTTTTTTCATTAACTTACTCCATAACAACTAAAGCAGCCATTGCCTCAACAATTGGGACAGCACGTGGTACAACACAAGGATCATGACGACCTCTTGCAGCAAGAATTCCATCAACACCATCATATGTAGCAGTTTTTTGTTCTTGAGAAATAGTTGCTGGTGGTTTAAATGCAACTCTAAAATAAATATTTTCTCCATTTGTGATTCCTCCCTATTATCATTAACATTTTTTAGTCTGGGTGGTAACAAACATCAAATTATTCTAATCATAATCTTTTGAATGATAATGAAAAAGTTATTTACTTGAATTCCACCAGAATAATTAGTTTTAGTTCCAAATACATCATTATCTTTTTTAATCCAAGGGTCATTATGTTGATGACCATACAAAGTTGTACCTTGGAAGCCACTTCCAATCTCAAATCCTTTAGTAGAGGGGATTGAAAGCATTGCATGTGCTAATTTAGCTTCTAATTTATCGAAACATGGTTCACCCAATCCTGATGGCACATTACGAATAACACATGTTACAGTTCCACCAACAGAATCATTAGACTCTTTTGCTTTAATTATACACTAAAATAAATAAATTTTTTGGAATTTATTATATTGTTGAGTTTATGAAGCATAAATATTTATTAAATTTTATTTTTAAACCTGAGTCATTTCTTTTGAAATTTCCTTATCAGGACATCGAACCATATTTTTATCAACATCATCTCTAGAAATGCTGTTTAACATATCCCAAAAATCTTGTGAATATAATTGATCATCATTATTATGATGTTCTATTTCTTTGATAAAAGGCATTTTTATATTTGAGACTGAAGAAACAAATGCTACAATCTCTATCTTATGAACCATTTTAAGATATTGCTCTGCAATAGCTCCTGCTGCCACTCTTCCTAATCAACCAGTTAATTATTAAACTTATTAAATTGATTTTTATTAATTTATTTATTTGTTATATCTTTTTACCTATTGTTTCTCTTGCTGATGCTCTACCACCACCACTACTAGCCTTTACACCATATTTTTGTAAATAGGTCCAATCAGCATGACTTGGCCTTGGATATGAATCAGTTTCTGAATAATCATGAGGCCGTTGATCTTGATTTGGTACCAGTAAACCAATTGGTGTTCCAAGTGTTATACCAAATTCAGTTCCTGATTGTATAACAACCAAATCTTTTTCATCTCGCTACACACACACACACACACACACACACAAAGGTATATAAATTTAATAACTTTTAAAATCAATGAAAATTTTTTAAAAGGATTTTTTTTTTTTTAATTCTTACAGGTGTCGTCAAATTACTCTGACCTGGCCTCCTTCTACTCAATTGTTTTTGAATATCAGCTTCTATAAGAGGTAAACCAGGAGGACAACCATCCACTATACAACCAACAGACTTCCCGTGAGATTCACCATAGGTTGTCACGCGAAAAATATTGCCAAAGGTACTCATACTTTTTAATTATTAAAAGATTAAAAGATCTATTAATTTGTGTGTGGCTTATTAATATATGAATCACAATAATCATTTGAGGCGTTTAAAGGTAGAATGTAGTCATGTGATTTATATAATGATCAGCTACAACAATAATAATGGTGGAGAATTATGGTGTAATTGGATATTGAATGGAGAGACTTTTGTAGTGGTAGTAGCAGTACTGACATTTTGTCAGTTTGTAAGAAAATTAGTGCGAAGCTTAAACTGAATATTGAAATCAATAATTAGACTAATTGGAAGGAACAGACGACCTAAGCGAATATAAATTATTAGGGGTAGTTACATGTTAAATAGAATTAAATATTTGTATAATAAACTAATAACAATAAATTTTTCTAATAAACAGTGTAACAGTACTGCGTCGTTAAAAAAAAAAAAAAAAAAAATTTTAAGCAAATAATGATCAATTAAATTATTTTTAATTCTTTGCTCAAGGTAAGTAAATTTAGAGCGTTAAAAAACATTCTAATTTAAAAATAGAATTTTTGAAAACAACTAGATGAGTTGAGGGAAATCAATAACAAGATACCAATATATCTCCATCTACTCTACATATACTATTTGTTCTAACTGTTCTTCGTAGAACTTTCTTTTTACTTTGACAAAAATGTGGGAGCTTCCTGTAATTTTACTTGAAGATAATTAATATAATTAATACATTATAATCAAACCTCGCCGCAATGAATTCATGGTCAAAAAAATCTGTTATGACAAGAATCCGTTGTGGCAAAGTGATGATCGGCAAAAATTTTTTATATGGGGGGTTTTCTAGTAAAAACCGTGTATAAGGCCTCCAGACCAAAATTGAGTTTTCTGCATAATATATGTCTATACCACAAGGATTATAACTGGTAAAAATTTTAGACACTATTTACTTAGTACAATAACAAGATATAAGGCTTGAAATATTCACTTTATATATCAAAAACATATGTGTAACATATTTTGCAAAGATCATCACTAAAAATTTTATTATACTTATACCCGGTTTTTGCTAGAAAACCCCCCATATGGTTGTATTAGTTTTTCATTAACTAATAATTTCACTTTTCTTTTCAATAATGATAAATAATCTATCAATTTTTTGCTTACTGATTTATTTTAGAAACTTGGAAAAGGTTGTTATTAGCAATTGGACAACTATCAATTGTTTGTATTGATTTATTTTAGAAAATTTGTTACTTGTAAATCTTTGGGGTAAAATTGTTTGTTTATTGCTTATTTTAATACCGATCTTTGATTAAAATAATCAAATATACATATCCATCTAAATAATTATACGAAAGATAGGCAAAAATTTTTCCACTTAGCACCAAAACATATGAAGTTCTGACACCATTCCTCCCGTTTGTCAGGTAATGGAAATCAGGATCAACTTTGATGAATATAAAGTTCATTCAATATTTATTATTGACATGCAATATGATGCAATATTACAATCGCTAATTAATTAAAGGATTCCTTTTTTAAAAATTACCAACTACAGTCGAAAGGTGGTCAGTGGTCCCTTAGATCCCGTTGAAACGAGGGCTTGACTGTACACTAAATTTTGAACCCTGTAATCCCATGTAACACAATTACAATTTTGTATACTCCATATTAATTTTAATATCTTGTAAGAAAAATGTGTTATAATAATATAAAATAGGAAGGAAGAAAAAATAAAAATACTTAATTAGTAATGTTCATTTGTTAACGATGTCAAATATTAAAATCATACGTGTAACGTTATATCAATGACTGAATTTTTTAAAAATAATGATGGGAAAAAATAAAAGTTCGGTTAAAAAAGTAGGAACTGTTGTTGAAAAAATTTCTACTGTAACAGAAGAAATTGTTAAAAATAAAGATAATATTTCAAATCTCACGAATGATCATTTCAAATTAGTTATTGGAACTGTTGGTGCTATCGGCGAAGGTAATAAATATAACCTATTTATTTTAAAAGATCATAATAATCTAATAATCTAATAATCTAATTATTATATTATATTATATATTATACAAATAGCCGCCATGCCATATTTGCCATTGATTTCATCAGTATTAACATTGACAGCAAAAATTGTCAAGGCTTATGATAATGCTCAATATAATAAAAAAAGTTGTGCAGCATTGATTCAACGAGTGCAATCAGCCGAAGTTGCAGTTAAAGTATTGGATAGACGCAAACAAGAAAATCAAAAAAATTTTCATCAACAAACTTATTATATAAACTTTGAAAGATTTATCACTATTTTAGGAGACATTGAAGCTTTTATGACAGATTTCACACGTTTATCACAATACAAAAAATTTATTTCTAATCATGTTATTAAAGAAAGATTTATTGGATTGATTAATGATTTTGATAGAGTAGTTCATGATTTAGGATTTACAATGATCATTGCAAGTGATGAAGATAGGAAAAAAGAGATTGAAATTTTAAATAAAGATATTTCTGAAATGTCAAAGGTATGAGAGATCTGGTATTATTGTTGATATTATTCATTATCAATTAAAAATATATATGTTTATAATTTACATATTCCTCTTTTTCTCAATAATAATAGTTCTTGCAAACAATTGAAGCTGGTGTTACAACAATCGATAAAAAAATCAGTCACGTGTTAGAACATGTATTAATATTACAAGATAAAAAAAAAGATAAAGATTTTTCACCTCCAATTAAAAAAATACCACCCAATGAAATAAAAATCGAAAGTTCTACTCACGATAAAAAATTACTTAAAGCAAGATATTTAGGATGTAATGTTGCATGTGATACCATTATCTTACCTGATGATGACAAACCTGGTTCACACAGGATTAATGCTCAATTAGCCATTTTAAGAAATTTAGCAAGTTGTGAATTTATTATAAATTTTCATGGACTAACTAAGATTAATGGAATTGATCGTATGGTGGTTGGATGGGCTGAGTTTGGTAATTTGAAAGAATTTTATGAAAAAAATCACATTAAGTGGCCTTTAAAAATTAGAATTGCCACAAATATTTGTCGTGGAATTATATTCTTAAATGGTTGTGATATATTTCATCATGATATTAGATGTGAAAATATTTTGGCAAGTTTTTAATTATCAGATATTAGATATTTGTTGCCTTTACACTAAATAACTATCTTTTTTTATAGATTACAGAAAATTATGAACCAAAAATTACAAATTTCAGTTATAGTAGGGATCTTAAAGACAATACAATTAAAATTGAAAACCAGAAAAAAATTATTCGTTGGTTAGCTCCTGAAAAAATGCAACCATCTAAATATGCACCATATACTATTCAATGTGAAATATTTAGGTATATTTTATTGACATTGATCTTGAATATTGATATTACTGTTAAATATGATATTGATAATTAAATAAAAAGTAAAATTATCATTTTAGCTTTGGGATGCTTTTATGGGAATTGGCATTTCAACAATTACCTTACAAAAATATGGAATTTTCACAGATACAAAGTCATGTTTTAAGTGGTAAAAGAGAACATTTAGATTTTACACTTGATTTGCCAGAAACAGAATTTGGAAAAATTGTTAATTCTGGTAAAATGATTTTATTTTAATAAATAAATACATCACATGTTAAATTTTTTTTTTTAAATTAATATTTTGTATTTTCTTAAATTTTTTAGCTTGGCAGCATGATCCAACTTTGAGGCCAGAATTAAATTATTTATTTAATGATTTAGAAAAAATTTGTACAAAATTTGCTAATGTTTCAGGAATATCATCATCTATGGTTCTTGCCAAAAACATTAATGTCCTTAATAACAATAAGTATAATAGTAATGACAATGGTATCTCAACTTCTGTGATAACAACAAACACTGCTACCGCATCAGCAACCCTTAATGGTTTTGCTACAACAAGCACGCCAAGTAATTGCGTTAATAATAATAATTATGATGATAATCATGGTAAAGATTTTAATAATCACAACAATAACAGTCATAATAATAACAACAGTAATGATTATAATGATGATTACAATAATAATAATGCTTGTAATACCCATAATGATGAATCTGAAAGGAAAGGATTCTACACTATAGATTCAGATAATATTAGCCCTATATTAAGATTGGAAGATGGTCTTGCATTAGATAAACAGGGTCAAAAAGAAAAGGCGTATGAATGTTTCAAAGCTCATGCAGATATAGGCAATAAAATGGCAAAATTTTGGTTAGGGAATTATTATTGGCGTGGTATTGTTGTAAAAAAAGATTTAGATAAAGCTGCTGAATTATTTAAAGAGGCCGCTGATAAAGGTGTAGCAAGAGCACAATTATGTTATACTAAAATTTTATGTGATGAAGATGGGCCATCATTTGATCTAGAAGAATTCATGAAATATTTAAGAATGGCGGCAGATAATGGTAACGAAGTTGCACAATTCAATCTGGGCGATTTGTATTATAATGGTAAATTAGGTGTGAAAATTGATGAAAAACGCGGTTTAGAATATTTAAAGCTGGCTGCTTTAAAAGATCAACCTAAAGCTATCGAGTTATTGGAAAAATTAAATATCAGCAATATTTATCAATTAGAAGATTAATTTAATTCATATCTTATTTATTATATTCTGTGTGTGTGTATATATATATTTACATAATTGTAATTTTATTTATTACTAATACAGTCATGGTCAACGTGATAAGTATTTCTGACAAACCATTAAACAATCAATTTTTATATGCCGCAATTAATCGAGCAGCCATCTTTACAAATGATTGGATTGTTTAATACTTTGATATAATAAATTATTTATTTTGTTGTAGTTAATGGTGTTGGAGTTGCTAACATCCACCGGTAGAAAATGGATACTTGTTGATATTTCTATGTTTAAATTATATGCTTATGTATCTAATTCTATTGGTTTAAAATTACGGTGAATCTCGAATATTTCTTAATATTGTAAAATTTTAGGGTAATAGCAACATATCTATCACTATGACGAGATCACCCCGCGGCTCATAATAATAATGGAAGTGCTGCGTATCCAGGAACCAGAAATAAATCATTGTTATGACGTCTACTATTGTATCAACGCCAGGAAAAGTACTTGTCGCAGGTGGATATTTGATACTAGATAGAAACTATGATGGTCTAGTTGTTGCGGTTGATTCAAGATTTTATACAGTGATTAAAAAAATTGAAGCAGAAAATACTTTTTGCAATAGTAATAATGACAATAGTTGGAAAATTAATGTCATTTCGCCTCAATTCAATAATACCAAGTGGGAATATAAAGTAATAATTAATGATTATAGCAATAAAGAAGATATCAGACAATGTGAATTGATGACATTGAACTCAAAGTATGCAAATAAATAAATTATTCATAACAAATTATTTAAATGAATTATAGTAAATTTTAAATTTAAATAAATTTATTTTTTAGTGAGAGCGGAAATAACACATTTATTGATGTGACACTCAAATTTGCTTTGTCAATTATTATTCGGAGAATTGATTATTCATCATTCTCAAAGATATTAGAAAAAGGATTAAATATATTTATAGTTGGAAGCAATGATTTCTATTCACAACGAGAACAAGTAGGTAAATTTTATCTTTAATTATTAATGATATCAATGATTATGAATTAATAGTTGATCCTCTTTTTATGGATACATACGTGTACAAGTTGAAAAATCAAGGACTTGAAATTAGTTTGGCATCATTACGATCACTCAAACCATTTTGTAAATTAAACAAAACCTTGAAAAATGTTCATAAAACAGGTTTAGGATCTTCGGCAGCATTGATAACATCATTTGTTACAGCTTTATTCGTTCATTTTAATTTAATCAATAACAAAGAAGACGTAGATGATAATAGTGATAATTATTCCAGAACATTAATTCATAATGTTGCACAGTTTTGTCATTGTTTTGCTCAAGGTAAAATAGGATCAGGATTTGATGTATCAGCTGGTGTATGGGGAAGTCATACTTACAAGAGATTTTCTACTAGTATACTAGAAAATGTTTTAAATGTGGTATAACCATTTTTAATATATATATATAATATAAAAAGAGAAAAAAAAATTTTTTTGTTAAAATATATTCTGATAATTTTTATTATTTATTATTCAGCCAAATATTACAGAGATTAACACAATTATCGATCCTATGTTAAATAAGTGAGTGAATCTGGTAAATTTATTATTATCATTGTTATTGTTATCATTATATTAATGTTAAAGTTATATTTAGATGGGATAATCAAGTTTCGCCATTTTCTTTACCACCAGGATTTAATTTAATTCTTGCAGACATTGATACAGGATCGAATACTCCCAGTATGGTTTCAAAAGTATTACAATGGCGTAAAAATGATCCTGAGCAAGGTTTTTTTTTAGGATTTTGATTTTTTTTCTCAAATGAGCAGACAAATAAAAAAAATTTTTAATTTTTTTTTTAGCAAATAAATTATGGGAAGAATTGAATAAATACAACAAATTTCTTGCCGAGAATTTAACAAAATTGACAAAAGAATATGATAATGATCAAAAATTATATTGTAATACTATTGAAATCTGTTCTAATTCTAAGGCATCTGAGGTTTGTAATAATAATAATAACTCTTGGAGAGAAAAGAAGAAGTATTTAAAGAAGAGAATATCAATTAACATGACTTTTTTAATAATTCTAGTGGTTATCAATATCAGAAAAAAATCCAAATGAATCTTACATTATAGGATTATTATCATTGATATATACAACATTCCAAGTAATTTATAAAAATACATACATATTATTATTGTTTTTTTTTCTAGGATTATGAATCTAATCATATTATTATTTCATTTTAAAGAATATACGAAAATTATTACGAGAAATGTCAAAACTGTCAAAAGTACCAATTGAACCACCTGAACAAACTAAATTATTAGATTTATGTAATGAAATACCTGGTGTGGTATTAAGTGGTGTTCCTGGTGGTAAGTTACAAATTTAATAATAATAGTTAATTAATCGAAAATAAATAAATAAATTAATTAATTAATGATTTTTTGTATTGTCATTGTCATTATTAGCGGGAGGATATGATGCAATATTTTGTATTTATATTACCCCAATTTCTTCTTCTACTACGACTGCGTTTCATTCAATTAAAGGAGATGACTGCCTAAATAAATTAGAGCAACTATTTTATAATTATAAAGACTTGGATGTATTACCACTTTTATCTAAAGAATCATCAAAGGGTTTTTTAATTCATAAAAATATTGATGATGTTTATGGTTTAAATGAATGTATTAATTAATTAATAAACAGTTTGATATTTATCAATTACTTTAATTTTGAGCACAAGTTTTCCCCCCAAGTTTAGTTCATGTAATTATTAAACCAATATGGCCCAAAAATCCATCACATGTTTTTTACTGATGATCATCATCACTTACTGGGGTGAACAAAACGATCTTACGCAGCCATCATCTATCTTTCCTACTAATCGCCTTGGAATCTTTGTAATGCTCTTTTTTCTCTCTGTGGATGCAATGCAGGCTATGTTTCCTCTATATTGTCATTAAACATTAAGCATTAAGTGGGAAGCAATTATAAATTGTTTAACTTTTACTTACCCAACGAAAAAAAAAGACAAGGAACATACACGATATCGATAGTATGCCATATATTGATTCTATACCAACTCTCTGCCATGATTTGGAACAGAAGATTTGTGTTATATTTGAAATGAAGTTCCGGATCATAATCTTTACCTAATATAGGGTCTGATGTGCAATGACTTAACTACCCGTATATTTCTTTCGAAATAAAAAAGCCTCTTCTTTTTTAAAATTAAAACTATTCTTATATTGTTGTATTCCATATAATCAAATCGTCTTTAATACATATGGGTTGTGTTAAATTGATGCTTTTTTGACTTTTGAAGTTAGTCAACTACGTGTAATAGTAATAATAATATGCTTGAGCTGTCTTTAGTGTCTGAGTTTGAAGCAACATAGGTTGATCAATATTGGTACTTAGAACGAGCTTTACATACCACACATATGACAGGTTTTGGTGCATGTTTTTACCACTTTTAAATCTTCAAATAATGCTGAAATTATTTTATTGTCGAATCACGATAATTCGATCACTAGAGTTTGGTGATGATGAAGTTGTTCTTTAAATAATGCAATTTTCGCTTTTCAATTTACATCTTTATCAATTAATCTTGTTAGAGTAAAACTTAAAGTAAAAATTTTGTGCGAAAAAATTGTCAATCAGTTCTCCGCAAAGAAGAACAAGTTTTTAAAACGAAAACGTAACAGCGAGTTTCGTGAAATACAGATAGTATTATATAATTTTTTTGGTGTCATATATTATAAAATCACATGTCTCGATCACTTGCATATATATTCGTTCGGAGCACTATCTTAGCATCCCACCATGTGATCAAAAGTTATTTACAAATTTCGGTTGTTAAAAAAAAAACAACTACTCAGGTTTTTTTTGTTAATTGAAAAAAAAGATCTTTTTGTCCTGATTAAAAGTCAATGGGTCAATTGGATTCCCCCCCCCAAGTCTATCGCTAAGCTCCATGCAAGCATCAAAAGTTGCAAAGATTAATCAATTGATTTTATTTATTTTCTCCGAAAGGAAATTAAAAAATGAAATTATTCCCGTCCACTACCTCTCAAATGGTCAAAACCAAATAAAAATTTTTTTTTAGTTCAACACGAACAATTAAAAAAAAAATCTGTACATATTGTTTGTTTATCGATGATTGAATTGACTGATAGTAACAATAGCAATAAAGTAAATGTAAAAAAGTGTTTTTGAATCCCGGTCTCGTGACCCGAAAATATACTAATTATTATTATTATTATACGTTGTGTGACAAGTCGGAATCTGAGGTAAAGGCTCCAAGTCAAGGCCATGAGTTTGGTCATTTTGGATGGTCCGAAATGTCAGAGCAAGACAAAAACCTAACGGTAGTCAACGATAGACACCGCGTAAAAAAACATTTAAAGTAAAACACAATTCCTTTCTGCTTCACTCAATCCTGATGTTTTGAACAAAAATAGATAGCAATGAGAATTCACATGATACGACGATGTAAAATAACCACAGCCATTCATCATTTTTTGAAAACAAAAATATTTAACAATCAATTTGCAAGCCAGCGCAGCAAAAAAAGAAAAAACGGCTTGATCTCATCCTTCCTCAACAATTCAGTTTAGAGTTGAATACCAAAATGGATGGAAAATTCGTAACTGTACTGAATTTACCGTTTCAAGTCTTAATATTAATGAGTATTTTACAACAGAATATTTCCCGTGCATTCAAAATTTGGGAAAGGAAAAGAGGGAAAAATATTACACAAAATATAAAAATTTACACAAAATTACGCGCACAACCACCATTTTTTAAAAAACAATACTTACTCTTGTCTTGTTCTCTTTCTTTTTAGCTCAAAGACCTTTTTTTTTAATATTAAAGATGTTTGATCCGGTTTTATTTTTGAACAATTACAATCTTATTTGCAAAACAAAATTATAAATAAAACTTCAACCCTTGAATTCAGATATGATCTTTTCTTTGGTTCACAAGTGGGAGATATGAAAAATTACGTACAACTATTCAATGCACCTAATAAATTTAATTCATAACTAGTCACTATAATTTAGTCCCCTGAATTTCTTTAAAAGATAAGTTCATTATAATATAAAATTATATATATAAATTTGTAGTTTTCATAGTTATAATCTAAAATTAATATAATAAAAACCTTTACTACCGCCAAATCTAAATTATTCCAAGAAAATAAAAATATATATAACCTTCCACCAAACACAATGTACAAAATTCATAATCTTTAAATAGCAAAAACAAAAAACAGCCAAATGAAAAATCACTGCATGACAGCTGAAACTCCTATAAAATAATAAAAATAAATTCAAGTATGTTATTATTTAATAAAATTAATTAAAAAAAAAAAAATACTCACCCAATCTGCATTGACGTCTAATGCCCATCAAAATTTTTCACGGACTTTTATTAAAAATCTTGGTGATTGGTACTTCATACTTTTTAGACCACGCAAAAGAAATACATGGGTCTATATAATGAATTTTGATGTACCAGTGCAATTGACTTATTATCTTCTTTGTCTTGGTTTGACAATTCGGTGGTACTCCGGAGGAAAAAAGACTCCGTTATGGACCAAGCTGGTCCATTTGGCCGGCCGAGGTTCCTCAATTCTTATTTTCTTTTGTCTATTTTATTGGTTAAATGAAACTAGAATGACGACGCGTTTCAATATTGCACTACCACCATTCTTTTTAAATAACTAGAATGACAACAAGTGGCAATAGCCACCATCATTCTTTTTTAACAACTAGAGTGACGTGGCATTTTTTTTTATTAAATTTTTTAAAAAGAAAAAAAGGTGATTTGATCGACGTGTACACAATAATTATTTTTTGACGGAGTCCAAGGTGACAAAACGCGAGTGTTGTTGTTTGGTTTGGTTTGGTTTGGTTTGGGTCTCCTAAAGAAAACGTGTTAATAATAGATGTACTATTTTTTATTTGTATTGATATTTTTATTTTAGTTTATAAATATTTTAATTGGAAATCAAAATGCGGAGCAGATCTTGCTGGGTAATTATAAGAATTTCCGGGCTTGTTGCTGTTCAAATCGAATGTAATTAAATAAGGAAAGTATGAAAAATGTTACATATCTTATATTAATATCTGGATTCATAATATCCGGTGTCCATATAGCGTAGCAAAACAATGTCTTGTGACCCTTGCGTCCGCTGTTTAGAACAAGTTTTGTGGATACTCTCATTGACGTGATTCTGCAAGGAATTGCTTCTTTGTAGCCTACTCCAGGGGCTTGTTTCTAGTATATTCAGTATAATGTTTCCTACATCTGTGTGCGCTTAACCACATATTTAATATGCTTGGTGACTCCTGCAGCTGATTCTTGGTGAGAAGACATGGCATCAGGAAATCTTCTCCACCGCAATATTACATCGGTAAATTTTAATATGTAAAGTTGTAATATTTGCATAAAAATTATGTAATATTTACACTCGATGTAATAATTGCATAATATTATGGGCCTGCTGTAAACTTACATAAATAGTGTAATAATTATGTAAATCTGCGTCAGAAAAATTTCCTGGTGTGGATACTCTTTTATTGATATAATCCTTTATTGGGATTGTTCTTTATAGCCTACTCCTAAGCTTCTTCGCCAGAAAACGTTATTCTTAGCCAGATTTTTTCTTTCCTCTTTCATATCTGGTGTTAACTTTTTTTTTAAATAGGATGGATTTTGACTACTTGATTTCTAAATATTTAGAAGAAACAGATTACACTAGCTGGAGTTTGATAAATATAATGCATTATGTTGCGGATTTGATCAATTTAACTGATGAATGTTTTGAAGAATTTATAGATTCGTTGAGATCTGCTTTATACAAAAAAATTCAACAAAAGAACAACCTTAAATCTGCAAAGAATAAGGCTCAAAAAATTTTTAAAAATCTCAATCCATCAGTCAGAAATCAGAAAGAAATAAAAAATTTTTTGCTTGGAGAAGAACTAAAATTTGGACAAGTGAGTAGCATAAGTTTGTTTATAATGATGCAAACAAATACTAACAAACATATATTATCATAGATTTTATATGATACAAATGTTGGATTAAGTGTCATGGAAGATAAAACTATTAAAGTACAGATAAGTAATTCTGAGTATAGAGATGTGAGTATTATGGTTCTTAGCATACTGCATCTGGGCTCTTTAGATACAATCTGTTTTAATATGGTCATCATATATTTAGTTCATAACTCAAAAATTAGAATCAGACAAAAATAATGGGTTGAATGATTATACGCCTTATCCAACAATGAATGATTATGATTTGGAGGGAAATGTGGCAGAGTCAGAAAAAGATTTTTGCAATACTAGTACTAATGTTGAAAATACATCAGAAAGAAAAAGAAAACAAGAAAGCAGTGTAATATATGAAATGAAATGCAAGAAAGTGCTGAATTTTCACTTAATCTTAATGGATCTAATGAAGAATCTATCATTGAAAATGTTGATGAAGCTTTATTATCAGATGAAGTCCCATTACCATCGAAAAACACTGATGATAAAACTTCAGAGGTAAAGATTGATATAAATGTTTAATTAATGCATGTTTAAATAAACTCATTGTTTTATTAATAATAGGGGATCATTGATCCAAATACTATTGAATTATTTCATAAATACCAAAAACAAATACCAAATGCACATAAAGTGCTGACGTAAGTCTAGCATTATTGTATTAAAGCATGATCCTTTCATACTCATTAATATATTCATTCGCTAATTTTTAGTCCTGCATACTGGTGTAGGGTTTTTATTCATGAATACCATGAATATCATTAAGGGGGTTACACACTATTAAAACAGCAAAAAATCCCTTAAAAACATGAGTTGATCACTTGAATTTAATAGTGTGTGACCCTGTGTGACCCTCTTATGATATTCATGAATACAAACCCTATACTGGGGAATATTGGATTTAACTAAAGAGAGTATCAAGGACTTTAAAATAGAGGATAAAGAAATCCAAAAATTATCCCTAGATTTTTCTAATAAAATCCAATGGAATAATGATGTCTCCACTCCAAGCTACATCCAAAAATATTTTGATAACAATTGTGAAAATGTTGACAAAAATGATTCTGTTAAAAATTTGGACATTAATATCCAGTTTATGTATGTATATTGAATATATTCTTTAAATTATTTTTTTACTAATAAGATGTTTTCATTTGGATTATCATTCAGTAAAAACAAGATGTCAAAACTTCAAACAATATGCACAGAGGAAGAATAGAAGATGTGGACTACAGTTCTGTTATTTTCTGGCGTTTTTACATCAACAAATATCAAAAACACTTGGTAAATAAATCAATATTTCTTTTAAAAGAATTTCAAATGATGATACAGTGATTTTTTATTTTCAAATATTAGGGGTGAAATCCAAGCAATTTCAACAAACAGGGCACGAAATGAAAAAATCAATCCTTTTTTAAGAGCAAAAGTTGGATATAAAGCAGGGTTGGCAAATTGACTGGTCCATTGAGAACAGATGGATTTTAGACTGGTTCATTGCCATTAATAAAACACTAAATATGGTTAAAGTGTTACACTAATGGACCCAATGGACCATCAATAGACCATCAATGGACCACACATTTGCCAACCCTGATATAAAGTAGATATGAAAGGTACTTTGATCAAAACACTGAGTAAATTTGAAATAATTTATGGAGAAGTTGCTGGAGGACTGGGTCCTTTTGGGACACCTGCCTCTTGCAGGAAAAAGCAGTATGTCAATAAAATAAAATTGATGGTAATGCTATGGGACAGTCTCAATCAATTCTTCCAAGACAATTGTTATGTGAATGATGAACAATGTAAAAAGCTAATTGTGTATGGGTGGTTACAAATTGGTAGGCATAAATATAGAAATAACAAAAAGTTAATATATGAATTTCATACTTACACTAATATTTTAATTGTCAGGGATCAAGTTAAATATATATGCAATGGATTGGTTTGGTTTTGGGATTTATAGATTTGGCAAGTTGGACAAATGTTTATTTCCAGTAGATGAGGAAGACTTGAAAATGTTGGAAGATGTGTATTGCATTTTAAGTTTATTAGAAGTAAGTTATTATTTGATTATTATTAATAGTTAGTTTTATGGATATTGACTCATAGAATAAATGTAGTTGAAATCACTTGAATCGGAAAAAATAATTAAAAAAATAATGCAAGATAATACAAAGAACAAAAGAAGATGCATTGAGACAGAAAATAGTCCTCATTTAAATAAGAATCAAACTCCTACAAAATAGAAAAATGACATTTATATAACAAAATTATCCACTTTTTTACAAAGTTCATACATAATGTGTAATAGATTCATTTGTTATATTCATTTTATACAACAATACTACACTCACCTGCCAAAAGCATTCACAATTTTGCAGGTCACTAAAACATTCAATAAATAATACATAAAGTAAACTTGGAAATTTATTAATACAGTGGCCTTTGTGTAATTAATGAAGATTGTTCTTTATATTCAACTCCATGATATATGCAAATTTTATAAGACTCTGTTTACTGACAATTGTCTGACAAGTTTTCAAAGGCAGACCAAAAAAATTTCAAATGAGAACCAATTCAATATGGAATGTTATAACTTAACTTTTATTATTAATAAAAAATGTTCCAAGTATCTTGAAATATGTATATGCAAATTTTAAAAAAGATTGATTAAATGGGATGGTAATTATTTTGCCAAAAATGTAATATGTAATTATGAATATTAAATATGAAATTAATTATGGGTAATAAAATTAATTACCATCCCATGTATAATCAAATAATTGTTGAAGATTCAAGAAAAACACAATATTATGCTAAAAACCAGACTTTTATGTTTTTTATTTTTTGTTTGTTGTTATTTAATGAAATAAAGTTACTGTTTGATTTTTCTTATATTGATTATTAATGATAGGATAATTTAAATCTAGATTACAACTGTTTTTTATGGGATCAGTTAATTAAACTTTCCAATTTCTCTTTTTTTAATCATTTGCTTAAAACTACTTCACTGATTCACCTAAGTTTAATTTTATTATAAAAACCTACAAAATGAACATAAAATTATAAAATTATATATAGGGATAAGTGTATATGGAAAGTAATAATAAGTATAATGGTTCTAATGAATATCAAAAAGCAATTGATTTTTTAGAAAAAGGTTGTAAATGTGGTTGTTCTTCAGTGGTTCCCAAGGAAGAATTTGCATAAATAAATAAAGATGGCCTTTTACAAAGCTCAAGGGCTTCTATGAATTTTCTTTTATTCACTTGTGATTGATTTATTTTAGTCGCTTACATTTACTAACCAATTGCAAACTTGTTTTAGTTTATTAACATTATGTTTACAATTACAATAACATTACCAATATTTCCAATTAACCTTTAGACAATACTTCATTAACATTCACTAGTTAACCAAACGTTGGTCCTTATTTACTAAAGTAAATTACGTTACTGGCTGTTGTTAGCACTCATTAGTTGGTAAATTGTCACGTGGTATTTTTGTTCTTATGGTTTACATGAATAAAAATTATTTGTTATACGCCATTCAGTTCTCTGCAAAGAAAACAAGTTTTTAAACGAAAACGTAATAGTGAGTTTTGTGAAATACAGATTAGTATTATAGCGTGATGATATTCTGGCATCATAATATTATAAAATCACACGACTCAATCACATACATATATATTTGTTTGGAGCATAAATGATTACAACGAAAATAAAAAGGAAGCATCTTATCATTTTATCATGTATTCATGATCAATGATGCATTCTTTAATAAAAATAGACTATTTCATGGCATTTAATTGAGTAGTCTAATAAATTACAACAAAAACATATAAATAGACCCGCTACTCCTCACTCATGAACCAAAAACATGGTGCATTGGTTTACTTTTTACATTGCATTTGAATTCGAGGATCGAGGAGTGTAGTGCCTAAATGACGTTCTATGTAACAGTATGATTTGATTTTACACGTTGCATTCAAATACGAGGTATCTACATATTCATTCGGAGCATCAACATTAGCCAGTCATATTATTATTATATCGATATTTTTATTTTATTTGTTGCACGAGCAAAAAATTACATATAAAAGGGAAACTGTTCACGAATTTAATAAAAGATCTTTTGCAAAGAAGAGCCTCATGTGATCAAAAGTGATTTACAAATTTCGATTGTTAAAAAAAAAAAAAAGATCATTTTGTCTTATCTATCCAGATTAAAGATCAATGGACTAATTGGATTTTTTACCCAAGTCTATCGCTATAGAAGAATAAGCCTCATGCAAACATCAAAAGTTATTTACGAATTTCGATTGTTAAAAAAAAGTTTTTTTTCTTAATTAAAAAAGAAAATCCTTTGCAAAGATTAATCAATGGATTTTATTTGTTTTGGAAATTAAAAATAAAATTTTTCTTCAAAAAATTTTATTTTGGTTCAACACGAACAATTAAAAAAAATCTGTACATATTGTTTGTTTATCGATCATTGAATTGACCAATAATAATAACAATAACAATAAAATAAAATGTAAAAAAGTGTTTTTGAGTCCCGGTCTCGTGATCCGAAAATATACTAATTACACGTTGTGTATCAAGTTTTTGACGATTTGGAATCTGAGGTAAAGGCTCCAAGACAAAGCTATAAGCTTTGGTCATTTTGAATGGTCTGAAACGTCAGAGCAATACAAAAACCTAATGGCAATCAACGATAGACACCGCGCAAAAAAACATCTAAAACGAAACACAATTTCCTTTCAGTCAAGTATCTACTTCGCTCAACCCTGACGTTTTGAACAAAAATAGATAGTAATGGGAATTCGCATGATACGGCAATGTAAAAATAACCATTCACCATTTTTGGAAAACAAAAATATTTTTTCAATTTTAACAATCAATTTGTAAGCCAGCGCAACAAAAAAAGAAAAAACGGCTTGATCTCATCCTTCCTCAACAATTCAGTTTAGATTTGAATACCAAAATGGTTGGAATATTCGTAACTGTACTGAATTTACCGTTTCAAGTCTTAATATTAATGAGTCTTTTACAACAAATTATTTCCCGTGCATTCAAAAAATATTACACAAAATATAAAAATTTACACAAAATATACAACATTTAAAAAGGAACCGTAACACGGCAACCTTTCTTCTTTCCACTCTAATTAAAACACCAAGTCAAATTTTATATTTTGTATTTTTATAAAATGTCATTTGTTAAACTATTATCATTGCTATCACCAGAAAGAAAGAAATTTGTATATAAAATTAATAATGAAATGTATAATAATGCTCTGGTTAATTCTGATAGAGAAAGTAGAAAAGATTATTTTTTTTCATTAGTCAAAAAAAACAAGGAGCTTTCTGAAAATGAAAAAGAATATTGTAAAGAAAGGTTTATTTATTATTTTGAATTAAGAAATGCAAGAGATAAATTGGGAAAACCAAAAGAATGTAACAAGTGTAAATTGACAAGATACTCTGATAGGTTCTGTGAAGGTTGTATT